AGCATCTTGGCTCTGTAGAGATTCAAAGGCTCTGAAGAACACTGATGGCTCAGTACTTTGGGTTTTTTTTGTTTTTTTTTGTTTTTTTTTTAATATGTAAAATAACACACTTCTGCCTGGACTGACAATTCCCATATGCTGTTCAGGCTAAGGTAACAGAAAAAAAAGGAAAAAACAAACCACAAGAAGTATTTTTAGCAAGTGATGAAATTCTATAAATTAATAATTGCAATGGCACTTAGTAAGACTACTGAATTTTGGAATTATGCACTGAGAAGTACAAACACATCTTTGTAGTTTAAACACAGCATTGTTTACCTCTGTGAAATGTAAGCTGTAAATATCCTGCCTCAATATTTCAGTTACCTGCAGACTAGGTAACAAGCACATGAACATTATGAAACACAAATCAATTTCGAAATCAGCAGCATTTCTCAAGTGGAGTATGTTGCAGAAATGCAAGTTATTACAGAAACAGGAAAACACAATAACTCACATTTAACATATGTATTTTGGGCACATTTAGCTCTGTTGATAGAAAAAAGATAGCAGTATTCAGACTCTTCAATGGGTATTAAAAAGACAAAAATATGATAGCAGTTTAAATATGTACATATTAATTTCTAACCATCTTTCTGGCCACCTTTGTTATAATTTTCCATTACAGTATCTCACCCTTTGCCTGTTCCATAAAACTAACGTCATAATGCAAGTTAAATGACTTTAAGCAATCTCATGGTAGAGTACTCTTCCTCAACCAAAAAGCATTTAAAATCCACACTCAAAGAAATTATTTTTGCATTTTGCTTTACTGCAGTGCTTTTTCTTCACATGCTCTTTACATTTGCAGTAAGAATAATTTTCATCATTGACTCACTCATACTATTCTGGGGATCCTTTCAATTCATACAAAATATAGCTGGAAAAATGCAGAGCTATCAACTTGTTATTGTCATTTTCCTTCCTATCCACTCCATGTCATTCACTGCTGAATCCTGGTTCACTGCTCCCTCTCCACCAGTGCACTCTCTCATTAATTTTAAACTGAGGAGACATGGGTTTTACCCTCTACACTACTGATAATTCTCTCAGGCCCCAATGACATTTACTAAGTAAGTGATAAAATATAGCAAAACTGGAACTTTAAGCTGGCAAAAAAAAGTCCATCTGTGGTTATCCACACACTGTTGAAAAGAGATGAGTGCTTTAGATTGGATTTCACATCAGTCTGCATCCTGGGTTCTAAGTTACCTAAATTAATCAGCCAAAATTTTTCCAAATGGCTCAGGCCATGACATTGTTGCCCAAACCCTAAAGGCCTCAAAACTGGAATTCAATATCTTTGATATTCTCCTAGATCAAGGTTTTCTTTACCAAAAGAGATTGTACGGGGGGAGAAAAAATCTGTGGTCTTGCTGCTATGCCTGCAGCAGCTACAGAAATGACAGCTAGATGCAGCACCTCCTCCTCCTCACCAGCCTTTTGGCAAAACGGTTGTCAGAACTGCCCAGGCCACCAGGCAGTCGACCCTGCTGCTCACGGGGCAGGTGAGGATGGCACCTGCACCCCTGTGTCACTGCTCCTCCTCCCCTAAACTGATGTCTGCTGACAGGAACGCCCCTGCACTAACACCCCTGCACTAACTCAGCACATAAGGGACAGATGTAAGGACCCATGTAAAATTCATGGTTCTAAAAGCCATTTAGCCCAAAGAACAAGCTTTGTTTAGCATTTTTGCCTTTTTATAGCTAATCCCCAAGTTTCCAAAGCTCTTTATGTTGAACAACTGTCTACCTGATCCTTACTTCAACAGACCTTCTCAGAGACATTACCATTCAAGTACAGACTTTGGGTGACTCCTGATAAAGTCAGAATCTTGGCTGTACTTGGTCTGAAGATTGACCAGAACTCCCTGCCAGGTCAAGTGCTGCAGACCTGTGCCAGGTCACACACTGTCAAGGAGCAAGTGCTCGGTGGAAAGTAGGTGGCAGCTTCCTAAGCACAAGTTAAGTGGGAAATGAAGAGATGACAATGAAGAACCATCAAAATGCAAGCTGCTTTACCTGGACTTGAACAACATCTTCACAAAAAGCAACATTTCAGAACCATCTTTTGAAAAGCTTCTTTCTAGGTTTAACTTGGTTCCAAGAAAAAAATACTCTGCTGTTTCAGAGAACTATCCTTGCTCAGGATATGAGGATTAYCAAAAAAGCAGAGAGTTCTAATATTGGCATTCATTATTACTACCTGCTACCTACCAGTACGATGCCAGATACAGGTAGCACAACAAGAAGTAGTGTGCAGAGTCCTTGGCTTGAATAGGAAGTCCTAGGTGAAGAATTTTTGTAATAAAGCACATTATATATATATATTTATATATACGCATACACACCCCTATATATAACATTTATTTTCCAAAAAAAGAACTTTAGAGATTTAATGAGCAGCAAAAGTTAAAAAAAAACATTTAAATACTCTTTAGAGTCCAGCTCCACCAAAATAAGAAATTAATTAGTTAATGAGTTATGAGTAACAAATCTCCACTAACAAGTTTGAAAACTAGGCCCATCAGCGCTTTACTGGAATATCTAAACCACAATAAACTGTAGAACAGCTTACTTTGTGCAGGAGGCTTAAAAAAAAAAAAAACTGAACTACAACTAATGTTCAAAGGCCAAATACATACTCTTGACACTCTGGAGAAAAATAACAATATACACCATTACGCAACACTATGAATGCTTTTAATCTGAAAGCCTGGGAATCTACATCTAACAATAAATTACATGAGATGTTTTTATCTGACAATAGTTTATCAGTCTGTCTGAACTCAAGTTACGTTATATTATAAATTTAGATTGGGGGCTAATTTAGTTTATATATATGTAGCAAGAGAAAGAAAAGGAACTACTTTCCAGGAACATTTTTAAAACAGCTGCTATGAAAAACAGCAACAAAAAAAATATATTTTACTTTTGCCAGCAACTTTAGCTATTACATTCCTTCAACAGATTAAGACCAATCAGCAACAGATTGAAATAAAAAGATCAATTTCAGAGTCCTCAAAAGATCAAAAAAGCATTTACAATATACAACATAATGCTGCCATCTTTAAAAACATTGTCACGTGCTGTGGTGCTCTCATTTAGGTGACTCAGGCTACAGTTCTATTAGCTAAAGTTAATCCACTCTGGAGACCACCTAGTAACTATGCTAGAAGGGAGATTAAAATCTTTAGAACCAAAATAGTATGTGTTAATTTATTACTCATTTTTTTAAAAAAAACATTTGTACGTTAGAACTTGTTGGTGCTTCCTACAAGAAGTCAGGCAAATCACTAATGCTGCCAGCACCGAGGGACCCGTCTCGCTCCAACAGCCAGGGCGGCTCCCGCCGAGGCGCAAGCAGCTCTTTGGGCGGCGGGATGGGCACCGCGCGCAGGGCCGCTGGCACAGGCCTCCACACGGGCACGGTCACAGGAATAGCCCACGGCGCCGGCAGCAAGCCCTTCATCTCCCAGGCCCTGGCATGCGAGCGGGGCAGGTGCTGCCTTCCGCTCTGCGTTTCAGGTTTTAAATTCTGCAGCCTTCTCAACGCTGCACATGGGCAGCACATGGCGGGCCTGGAGCAGCCTTCCACAGTGACCGCGCCCCACGGTCTCAAATGTCAAGTCTTGACAGAGGCTCTTCCTTTCTGATGGACGTGGGCCTACGTAGGGTAGCACTTGCCTCTATTCTAAAGTCTCGGGAAAAAACAGCACTCTGCCATTAAGAGCACATATGATTTGGAGGGATATACACAAGGCAAATAGAACTTGAGTGATCTCCAAGCTGTATATATTAAGTCCCTGGAAGAGATGCCAGCCATGAACAATTTGGGCCACTACAAAGTCTAAACATGCGACACATGCGACCTTAATGCATTTCTTTCAGCTGTTTGTCTCATTAGCACTTCACAGATCTACCCATAATAACAGGAAAATAAATTCTGTCAAGAAATAAAGAAGCCACCCTGCTTCCATATGCCAGGAAATTTATTAACTAACGATCTATCTGCACTACGCAGAGATAGTATCTAATAATTTTCATGTAGCTGTCTCATGTCAAATGCCATCAAAGCATCCCTAGCCCCAGTGAATAAACAAGCACTTAAGGCAGTACAGCTCTGAATATGCAAAGCTACATTCCAACACCTATGTGATTTCCAAATAACACAACTTTTACAATTGCATTAAAAAAATGCCATAGAAAGAAAAGAAATGCAGTCTGAGGTGGTTCAGTTACCTAATGCATAGAAGAACTAGAAGAGCTGTGAAGGGCCTACTCAGGTATAAACTCTCCCTCACCTGAAGATCAGATCTGCTTATCAGAATGGATTAAGTGAAAGTCATATTTATAAATCATAATAAATACTTACAATACACAGGCAATGAAGTGAAAAGAATAACCCAGAACATTTTAATTTGCCTTTCAACCACCAGTTCCAATGGCCAAGGAAGTCGCACTCCAAGGCCATGAAACCCGGTAGGTCAAAGGAACTGTTACTGACTAGGGACCACTGAAAACACTGTATCAGTACCAAAACATTGACCTAAGTTCACTTGAGACAGCATCCAGGATCTCTCTTTCAAAGAATATCCCTCATGGTTTGCCCAAATTATTAAAGTCTCATAAGCAAGGAAGCATGCAAACAGCATTTATGTTCATGAGTTCTATCAGGCTTCCATATATAGATTTGTGCCATTTGGCCCTCCAGTGAAAACCCTCTTATTGACTAACAACCTGGAGAAAATAAATCCTTGRTGCACTGGCACATCCAAAAGTCTATCAATACAAGCCCATAAGATCCAACAACAAAATGCTCCTCACCACTGTATGAAACAGTATGTGAACACTTACATATCAGCCAAATACATTTCAAATATCTGTTCAATCTGAAATACAACTGCAAATATCAGTTATTTGTTTATTATGCAAACAACATCTCGAGTCACTCCTTACCTGCCTCAGCAATTTCTCAATGGCAGACATTACCATGAGCCCCCTCCACACAACCGGAGCAGTCTCTTCTATCAGAAAACCCATAGACATACTGAAACAGTAAATAAAAAACTTAGCTTTCCAACATGATACCAAGTATATGTATCTAAAGAAGTTAAGATTTATATTAAAAAATATGCTTACCAAGCAATGCCATAGTTCTTAAGAGGTCTCATTAGATTTTCTGAAACAAAAGCAAAGAAAGTCCCTGAAATTTATGAAAAAATAAGCTTACACAAAATTTTAGAGCATCTTCCCCTTCTGCCAAGATGTACAACTATTGTGAGATCTGGAGTCTTGCAACATTTTCTGGTACTTTTCAATTCTTGCCAGCATAACAGTGTATTTGCTCGTAACTCAATGTCACTTTGTGCTGCCAAAACCCAGACTTGAGCTGTTTATAAGAATTCCTCATGCTGTGAGGCATAAACCACTTATTGGCAGCTTCTATTGCTGCAATATTTTTGTAAATGCTGAGTCATTTACATGAGAACAAAGTCACAAATTCTCGCAGTGCTATGTCATTTTTTTTTAAACTATGTTAGTCAATACTCTTGTGCATCAGAAGTTCCTTTTCACAAGGGTTTTGGGGAATGCTTCGCTCTCCATAAAGTCTGCTTTGGAACCCCACAAGAGGGAGAGCAAATAAAGGCCCCGCTAAGCACCACACTGGGGCAGCTCAGGGTTAGAAGTCTCCAATTCTCCAGAGGGCACAAAGTCTGCAGGACTGGTGAAATTTCCACAAGAACAAAAGCAGCTTTTTTCAGACATTGCAAAGGTAATGCTGTTGCCATGCTCCATACTTACTGCTACATTTCTCTGTGCCAGGAAGAAAGGAGGGAAATAGTGTAACTGTTCTGCTGGGGGACAGCAAACAGGAAGCAAAAAAAGCAAAAAAGCCCTAGAGCAATGCATTGGAAAACAGCCCCGACCTCTCTCTTGTGGTAGCATTTTCAAAGTTCAATTCTCCTCAGAATGGCTCACACACACAAAACGAGTTTTATTTCAATCTCACTCACTGTAAGATCATACACCAGCAAAATACAGAATAGATACTTCTGTCAATAAACAAAATCACAACACACATTTTAACAAATGGTTAATGGTGTATGTGCATTTGTACATATATATACATGTGCACAAATACACACACAAAGTAGTGTGAACTTAACAGTACAAGTTGAACTCCAAATTTACATGAAATAACACCTGAGCACCCAAATTAAAACAGCTCAAAATACAGGCGAAATCTTTCAAGTAATCAATAAATCAGCATTCAAGCCATTTTATTTCATAGAAATATGTCTGAAAATAAATCAGATGCAGATTTTCTGCTCACAAGGTTCTGGTTTACAAATTAAAAATGACAAAATAATAACAAAACAAATCACTTGCTTGTTTTCTTATCTTTAGGAGAGACTATGAAACTTACTGGAAGAGAGATGGGCTTGGACTGATATACTGAACTAGGCCAAGACAACATTTCATAATTCTTTCCAGCTTTTAGTCACKGCTTGGTTTTGGTAGAATTATTTCATGAAAATAAAATTAATCTGCTATTATCTAATCACATCTCCGGGAAGCAGTCTCACTTATTCTCTACTCAGTAAGATGCTTTTGTGATGAGAAGCCTGAAGACGTTTGAACTTCAGCAGCCTGGGGCCATCTCTAGAAGCTGGTGCTGCTGCATCCCTCTAAGCAACATGCCCATCAGCACAACCCCCAATGTTTGCAGCATTAAGAAAAATGACTGCACATTGTGAGAGCGTTTACAAATATATCTAAAACTSCAACAACATATATCATTGCAACATTAAGGACTGCTTCATCTTCATCATGAAACAGGAACAATTATAAGCAAAAACAGACAGAAAAAAAGCACAGGCCAATGCTAACTGATCAGTAGAGGACCAGAAAGTAGAAAAGAAGAATGGAAAAGACACAGAAAGTCTGAGAAAGTTCACCRAAACGTATTGCAGCTTCTCAATTCATCTCAAGTGAGGCAGTCGAGTAACCAGTATCCATCATGGRAATATCCACTACCTGCTGGGAGAGCTGCTTCTCCATAGGGCACAGACAGATGTAGTGCCTTCACAGAAGACACGTTCCCTGCACAGGTTTCCAGCTCATGCACCCCTAAGAGGACTATTGCTCCCAGCACCTGATCACTGACCTACAAGGCAGCTAAACAGGCGTAGACTCTCTTTTTAAAGAGTGTCTAGTGTTTCTCAGCAGCACAAAAACTCTTCATGAAAACTGGATTTTACTTACTTTGTTTTACAAGAAGAGGCATAAACTGTCAGAGCAGCAAGCTTTAATCAGATTTATGGAAGTGCACAAGGGCAATTCACAACCTGCTATATATACTGGCCGAAATGTTCTGCATATTTTCAAAGTAATACAAAATACAGCAAAGCTCCCTACTGTTTGCCTACTGCCGAAGGGCTTGCTTAAGACTACCTCACACCTACAGCGCTCAAGTGGGGTCTGGTTATCAACCTGGCATCATCAAAAGAAACAGGCATTCATCCTGGGTCTGGTGAAGATTTTCTAGGGCATAACTTGCAAAGATTTAGCTTTATGAGATCTCAGTAATGTCTCTCTTTAACACTTCCCTCGCTGTTATTCGAATGCCTACCATATAGATTCAGAACCAACTCTGAGAACACACAATAAAAATAGATTTCTAAAAGTAGAATCTGAATATGGGATTCAGATGGGAAGAGAATCTACAAGCCCATTTTTTCCTCATTGATAAAKATTTCCCTTACTCAGATATTTCCAGAACCTGCAGCTATCTTGAAAGGCATCCGCCTCCCTAGAAGGATATCTTATTAGTTTTACTTAAGATGCACCTGCAAAACTTTTGATATACAAAGTTGCTTGTCTGTCCATCCAGCTTCCAAAATTAAGTCATGTCTCTTCTTAAACTGATCAGGAAAACTCTAAGCGATCTGTGGATATATCTAAGAAAACGGTACAACTGATCAAGAACTTTGCTCAGCCTGAGTTAACCAGCTCTCAAAAGCTTAACATAGGCAATGTAATCCTACAGAATCTTTAGATTCTTAAAGCACATTCATTGCTTCTCTGATTTTAATTAATCTTTAAGCCTTTGTTTTAGTTTTGCTATCATGGTGAATCCAGAAGGGCAGAAACAGATTTTTTTTTTTTTAAGCAACAGAAACCTATTTCTGAAACACTATACTTCTAAACACATATAAGGTCCTTTGTGCAAGTACTTGGAAGGAAGAAAAAAAAAAAAACAAACAAAAAAAACCCCACACAACTGTATAGCACCTTCCTCCTTCAGAGGATGGGAGGAAAGCACTAAACTAGCTGTGTCGTAGAAATAAAATTCTACCTTATTCCACTGCAGAAGAGAGAAAAAAAAAATAAAAAAGGAGAAATACAAATCTATTAAGATTGTGTCCTATGTAGTCTTTTGGAGCTTATCTTGTCCAAATAAATTACGCAGGGAGGTAGAGGAGGTTGAAGGGCAGCATTCAAGATGTAATACCCTATGTTCCTTAGCTACATCAGCATGTAGTAATCATAAGAAACTTATAGAGAAAGAGTTAAAACCTGTCTGCTACAATGACCTTAGTAGAGTCGGGTCTGCATTTACACTTTTCAGAAATACAGCTGGAAAGCAGCTAAACTGGTCACTTTAACAGAGCAATGAAGTCCAAGCATCCTTTCCTTCTCCTACATTACAAGGTCATTTAGCTGAACTTCATAATGCTTTTCCAGGCAATGAATGTTGTCCCACAAATAGGACATTTCATACACCAGAAGTCACACAATCTGCATCACTCAGAGTGGTGTGAGAAGTTCTCAGTGATGTACCTATGCAAGGGGACAGCAGGTCCCTATGAATCCACCGGCTCCACTGATAGCAACATGAAGCAGAAAKGGCATACAAAGTGTAAGACAGCAATATAGGGAACTAAAAAAAAGAAATAAAACTGTAAAATATGAAGGTTAGGAGCTGAATGTAATATAGTTTGGTGAACATCAAATATACACCACCTGTGTAGGTTTGAAGACATTTAAACACTTTTTAAAGAATACTGTTGACACTGAACATGGGAGTCTAGTTAAAATAGAGCAGTGAAAGTTTTTTTTTAATACTGAATTATCTACTATTCGCTTCAAGGATAGTCATGTTTCTGTTACTGCTTCAGCTCCTAGCACAAAATTGAACCCATTTGTTCTCACCTAAGTGGACTTGGAGCAGATAGTGCTCTCAAGACCTTTTTAAGATGTGACAACAGTAAAGTCCACCAGAAGGTCAAAAGGAAGACTAATAGTATGATTCTACACTTAAAAAAACCCAACTGACCTTTGTATACCAATTTCCAAACAGTTCCAAACAAATTACAAAACCAAAGAAAGTGCCAGCACAGAAGCCCTTGCAACTTAAGGGCAATGTTCACAGTGCAGCTACCTCCGCTTTCTTCATTCTAATACTGACACAGGCCCCATTTCTGGGACACTCAATATAAGCARGTGCCCCAAACAAGTGTTGGCCTCACAGTATGCAATGGGGGCAAGGGAAGTGTTACGCACTCAGCAGGTGGGCGAATCCCAAAGACAGCGGAATTCACTGCAGCTCTTTCCAGCACCCTGCAGCCTGGAGGCCTGTGCCGAGTTCCTCCAAGGACGGGCGCTCTAACACGGCCGTGGCTCCACTTAGAACATCTCCAGTGCTAGAAAGATCRTCTCTGCCCTGCTGACAAGTATCTAGGAGGCCTACATGCTTCCAGGGCACTGCTGAATTGGGTATTTTCAAATATTCGATGCTCTGAAATATATGTGAATTATAAAAAAAAAAAAAGAAAAAAGAAAAAAATAAGCTACGCAAAAATGATATGCACCGAAAGGCTGCAGAAGGTTGCACTATGTACTGCTTGTAACACATAAGTCTTTGAACAGCATTTTAGCATGACACATCTAAGCATTAAAATGGTGTTYGCGGATTTAAAAGAATACTTTTGAACAGCAAATAATTCTAAGTGTTCCTTTCTTCTGCAATATTTGATTTAAATAAAAGCCACACAGTAGCTTCTCTGCATATATTTATCAAAATTTTAACAGGTTGGTTAACACAGAAGCTAAAGGTCCTGCTCCTCTTTAGACAGCTCACAATTAGTGGAAGTTTTCATGACAAATTGCAAAGTTCCACCTCCTCCACRTCTCAGTGAGGTCTCACTGCTGATGCACCCAGGACATACAGCACAACAAAACCCAAAGCTGCCGTGCCGGTCAGGAATGACACAGGGCAGAACACCCTCTTGATCCCAGTACATCCCAGCGGCCTCTTTTCAGTGGTGGGCAGGGACAGGACTAGAGGAAATGGCTTCAAACTGAAGCATCGGAAGTTCCACAGGAACTTAAGGAAGCATTTCTTCACTGTCAGGGTGACAAAGCACTGGAACAGGCTGCCCAGAGAGGTTGTGGAGTCTCCTTCTTTGGAGATCTTTAAAACCCGCTTGGATGCAGCCCTGTGCCAYGTGCTCTAGGTGACCCTGCGTGAGCAGGGGGGTTGGACTAGATGACCTCTGAGGTCCCTTCCAACCTTGGGCATTCTATGATTCTATGATTCTACATTAAACAAGATTATCTACAGAGCTCAATTAACGTGCTATACATCTAGTCCAACCTATAACGTTCCCAGCCTGGTCACTTGAGAAATCTCATATTTCTGTATCAACTGGCCTTAAGCTGTGCACAGTTTCATGCTGCAGTGACTGCAGCAGATTCTCTCCATCTCAATTAGGATTCCAATTTACACAGCCCCTTCTGTTAATCACAGTAAGCAGTTATATTGAAGAGACCGAGGAAATTTACTCGCTGGCTATTTTAGTCACAAAAGCCACCATTCCACAGCAGGACAATTCAYGTTCCAGTCCAAGATACAAAGGCTTCAGTCTACACAGGACTAAACAAAAGATTTCCAACAATCACAACGAAAAATAATAAACAAAATTTGTAGACTGCTTCAGCAGCTATACAGAAAACATATATCCTTAAACTGTGGAAAAAGAGAACATAAGACAGGAAGGGGAAAGTAGTAACACAGAGAGTGGGTTTCACGTGCCTGAACACAGATGTCTCACGCCACTCTGGATGCACTAGGAGAAGGATCTGTACAGGGCTAGCAGATCTAACAGAGGATATATGGAAGGGCCATACTTTCCAAGAGGTGTCTGGAAGCCAGACACTATACCCTATAGTGTTTTAAACAGTACTAGTTTGCGATGCAAAAGCAACTAAATTCCACACACAATGACTTATAAGAAATGGTAGTAGGAGGAAAAAAGGAAAAAGCTACTAGCATGGAGGGCTGCAGCAGGGCTGCAGGGCATGCCAGAATGAAACACTGACACCAGCTATGTCAGAGGGCAAGGAATGCTGTCACTTAAACATTAATCAGAGTGTTACAAATTTTTAAAATCCAGTAATCATTCTAACTGCTTATGCCAGAAGGCCAGAATATTCTATGGCAAGTGACAGACTAATTGAGACTTCAAGTTTGATTTCACACTCTGCTATAAATTTATTTACAGGATTGCCCCTAAGGTACAGTAATTCGTAAGCTCAAACAGCTCCACACAAGGAAGGTTGAGAGTTCCCATTACATCCCACTCTAGCAGTGTTAATCTAACCATGAAGCCATCACAAACACCTAAACGTGCTGCCAATAAGAATCAAACATTACTCAATTCTCACAATGCAATTCATTTTAACAAAAGATTGCATTAAAAAAAGATTTTTTTCCAGCAAATTTGCTTTTTGCATCCTGTCAGCCACACAACACCTTTTCTAGAGTTAAGTTTTCATCATTTTTTCCTCCTGATAGCCTGCAGAGGCAATATGCTGTGCAAAATTCTTCATTAACTAAACTGTACTGAACTGTTTTGCAGATATTGTATCATCAGTCCTATCTAATAGCAAAAGATCTAACTGTCTGGTGGAATATTATACTTCAAAGGCAAGCCCGGCACAGGTAAACACAGCAATTTAGTTGCATCCCTGTCATATTAGTAAACAATGCTGTTAGATTAGGAAGAACACACAGAACTAGTTTTTAAACACCACATATTTCCTCCTTCTAATCTTGAAAATAGCCTCCATTTTTAGAAGTCTCCAGATCCTCACAGAGCCAAAAAAGGTCATCTATAGTGGATCAGAAGCTTTATTAGGTCAATTTGGGTGGATACTTGTAATTCATTATAGCTAGGGGGATGAAACAGCACAACGTTGGATTCCCAGCTCCTATCCTGACATACAAAACCTTTGCAGAGATTCATGTTATCTAAAGGACCGACTTGTCTCCGGGAAAGGAGGACCACCCAAGACATAGAACAACATGACAATAAATCAGGAAAACCAGGTAGACAAGAAATGGAGATAAAAAAGCAGCTCACTAAGCCAGAAAACAGCATTTACATAAATCATCTGGGGAAAGAGTAGAAGAAATGCTTTTGTTCTCTGTGTGACACCTCTCTATATATTTTAGGTGGTATTAATATTTATTCCATAATTAGGTAATGATCCWATATCTAATTAAATTCCATTATGAATCTTTAACTAATATTTTCAGGACCATTCACTCTATTTTGACTGATGCTCTACTAAACGYTGTCAGACTTTCACTAAAATTTGAAAAATCAAATTAATAACCTATTCCCATTTACACAGATTTCTCCTCCCTAAGAACTACCAATTCATTTAGAATGCTTAAATTACAACGCAACTATAACATTCTCTATTGAAATGTGATAATTGCTGCACAGATTTATCTTGTGTGGTACCAAGCATCCCTAATCCCTTTTTTTCACGTAAGGAAAGAAATAGAAATCTGTGTATGCAAGAACACTCAAGTAYCTCTTAGGATTATTTTAAGGATTCACAAAGAAGGATGTTCTTCATCTTCCCGAGGCCTCATACTGAAGATAGCAACAGACGTTAAACAGGGTTTTGGACTGCCATGCTATTTTAAAAAATAATTTTCAATTCAACCTAGAAATTGCTATACATGCATTGATAATCCACAGCATTACTATATATATATATGTTCAATTACTGTTTAAAACTTTTTTCATATATATTTTTACATTTTATTCTTGAAAAATTAGTATGAAATTTGTAGAGTATGGCTAATGCCAGATTTTACCAAAATTAAATGTTCATATATCTATATATAAGCACACAATGTTACTCAAAGAAGCTAACCTGTCATTTTCCTCATTTCCTTGCAAACTTACCCAATTAAAGTAAGAGCCCTCAAAACTCACAAATYCCTGTTTTCATAACCATATCATCTCCATATCAGCCAAAATCTGAGTTGATCGAATATATGTCAAAGTTGATGAGATTTTTTTCCAGAACTACCTAATCAATTTGCCAGGCAGTGAGGSGGAAAAATCTCGAAGTACAAATTTTCACAAGATCTTATTTGTGAAAGAAGTGAACAAGGATCTGTAAATGATATATCTCACCTCTCCATCAGGTGAGAAGGAAAAGAAAAAGACAAATATGGAAGACACTGTAATACAGCTGCTCTGATATCTGTAATACAAAACTCATTTCAAAGATAAATCTCATAGCAACAAAACCTGTCACAAAAAAAATACACACTCTCCATGACATACTCTCAACAGGGCTCAGAGGGCAAGAGAATGTAAGGATACTTTAATGTGTATCGGTAAATCAAATTCTGTTGATGATACACAAGAGGGTTCAATTATTTTTACATGGAAAGTTTAACACAGAAATTTGACAGCTGTCTGTACAAGCATAATTCTTTTTGTGCACACGGAGTGCCACTGTAAGTAAAAATACACTACTTTATGCAGTGTAAGCATTAGTAGCATGAGGAAGACAGGATATTTCATGTAACCCTCAAAAGAGACTTTCTCAAAAGAAAAACCCTCTTATTTGCCATGTTTTATATTAAATAAGAATATACAGAATAACAGCCACTACAACACTAAACAKTAACAAATAATCTCTAGTTACCAATGGATATTTTCAAACAATATCAATGAAGCTACACAAATTGGCAGGAAAAAGTGCAAGGAATACACCATTTCCCTTTTACTGAGCCATAGTATCCCAAGAAAAAAAAATTAATGGTGCTGTCCTTTTGTTGCTGCAGCCCATTTTTGTACTGTTGGAATCAACACATGTTCTCACTCCCTCTTTTCGTTTTCCCTCATTCCTTTCCTGGTTACCTTTTCCAGAATTATTAGTAATAAATCCTCCTCCAGAAAATCAGCTTTGAAAAGATCTCATTAATATAATAAAGGCAGTTACATTAAGTCTTCATCTTCTGTTTGTCTCTCTCCTGTGTCCCTCCACAGAAGCCTCAATGAGTGGTCAATGCTCATCCCGGTACAAGGAAAACACAACAAAAAATCACTTCCCACTTACTTGGTGTTAATTCTGGGTTTCCTTTCAAGTTCATCATCTTCGGAATTGAAGGCCCATATATGTCTGCATCAAGCAAGCCAACTTCTTTTGTCTGTGTAGGGCAAAAAAGATGCTTATAAAAATATCTTTTTTACTTCCAGAATTATCAGTAAAGCAAACTTTCAGAGATACTCTTTTCTTGCGTATTTTGATCTTTATGTAGTTTACCACATAAGTGCCAGAGTCAACCTCTGCTAAATATCTTGATATTTATATACCTAAGACATTCATTTATATGTGTTTACATAAAAGAATGCTAAAAATATGGGAATATTCAACCACATACTGTACATTAGACAGACCTCTAACACAAGTTCTTTCAACTATGTACTCTAGACTTAGAAAATTCATTTCCACATGCTTTTTTTAAAAAAATGTATATACACATACATATTTCACCAAAACCAAGTATTTTTTCCTACACACATAATAAGATACTCCACCAGTTCTGCAAACTAAGAGTTGAAAAGCCAGCTCTTTAAAAAGCTGACCATCTACCTTGTCCAGTATTAAAAGCTGACTGGATTCAATATTTGCAAAATTTGCAAGGGGATTTCTTTCAAAACCTACTAAGGAAATGGGAGCTTTTCCAGCAATGAGGTTCACTGCTTACATTCCAAAAGTTATATTTTGTATTTAGTCATGTGATATGACATTAAGGCATTTAACATCACAGTTTTTTATAGGGAAGATGAAGACAAAGATAAAGGCTCAATGATAATTATCCAATTTGTGGCTGGAGCGTAAAAAGCCATTTCCTGCAGGTCTGCAGTGTCTCTATCCTCAAATAGCATTTTTAAATATCAATATACTTAATTGCATCACAATAAGGTCCAAGAAACTTCTCAAGCTTTTTTCTTTTTTTTTTTTTTTTTTTTTTTTTTAAAGCAGAAATGTACCTGCATTTTAAAACCCCAGATACTCAGGCTACTAATTAAGAAAACATTTTTAACATAATTGTTAAGCAATTTAACATAACAAATTTACATCACACAACCCAACCACATCTGAAGTTTTATAGCTGAAAAACTAAAAAATAGAGAAAATGTAAAACATAATATATACGTTTAAAAAATCTAATTTGGTTACCAAATTCAACCAACTATGGCTTTAGTGATTCAATATACTTTCTTCTTTTTCAATGAAGAAAAATATATATAACCACATGGACGATTTGATGTAGTTTTCAATACCTGTTTATAACATTTTCTAATATGCACAAAAAAAAGTTCAGAAGTTACACTGACAAATCACTCTACTGCTTGCCTAATGTACGAAAGCTGCAATTTAAGCGATTGTAAAGCCCCATTTTTATGTTAAATTTGAAAGGCATCAACAGCATTAGAGCTTCTTTGTTCTTTGACAAAACGCATATTTTAACAGATTATAAAGATTCATGACTCAGTCTTTTTATCTGTCAGCCGCTAATCGAACCCATCAAAACATCATCTAAGGGCTCTGCTACCTAATTACCTCCAAAATGAAGCAAATATTTGCAGAAAAAAMTACCAACTGTTTTCAACCTGACTGACATTTTCTCCACCACAAGTTTGGAGGGTTTATCCATGTCCCCCCCACCCCAACACACACAAGCATCATAAATATCTACTGACTACAACGACCCTACAGCCCTCTCAATTCTCTCTTTAGCCTGAAAGGACTGAGGATTTAGGAGGGTCTAAATCAATTAGATCGGGTTCGTGATCTTTTGGATACTGCATGATCTTCAGCACTACAGGCTACATATTCCTGGGATTTGGCAGGAGTGCCAATATCGGAGAGAAGGGAGAAGAAAAAGTATCTTTCAGTTACCTAGGAGGCTTTTGAAAATTTAGACATTGTTTCAAATAGTTGAGCCAATCTTTCTTTCAGGCTAACAATAAACCTCACATTTTTAAAGAAAAATCTACATACATCCTCAAGAACAAGTGTATAACTTAGGTTTTAAGACACATTGCTTTCTGTTCATGGTAAATGAGAGTTTGCAAACAGGGGGAAAAAAAAAAATCGTGGATTTCTCCAGTCTCTAAAACTTAAACTAGTGAAAGCACAAGCATTCCCTTGTGCCTGGTGCTGTGCACACCTACACAGGAACAGAGTCTTTYGGAAACTCATCTTTAAATCTCTAGCTTTAAATCTCTAGGGTAAAGACAGCCTAAGAAAGGTTTTTCTTCATCAAGCTATTCAAAACATTATGTAAAAATAGTTCATTTCCTCCCCACCAAAAGCAACCTCTTATACAGAAAGCACCAGCCCCACAAGCAGAGGTCTGGGACACTGTTTTTGCCCACTCTCCCTTTGTCTGCAGTACATAAGTACTTCTGGAAGTAGCAGTACATAAGTACTTCTGGAAGACCAGCAGTAACTCTTTATTTGAGTTTAATTACTGTAGCATCATTATGGCACCACCAATCCAGGATATTTCTCATAGTGACTGCAATTGCAAGGTACTGGAGACATAACTTTTAATTCTCAAAGATATTTTAAAACCCATTTTATTGACTAGCGTGTTTTCATTCATATAACTGAAACATTATCTAGCTCAGATGACTACCTTTCAAAGTACTGTTGCATGAAAATAAACTCAAAGGAAGAGGGGGAAAAAATCAAGCAAGGAAAAAGGAAAACCAAAACAAAAACACACCTACTTGGGCAGAAAGATTACAGGAGAATACRAAATTACAGACAAGGCCAAGAAACCAACACAAAAAAAAAATCTGTAGGACACATGTCCCCTGTCATTCTATGCACATGCATCACGTGCCAAAGCTGAATCGGATTTCTCTTCAGCAAGTAATACAAAGGTTAAGCACACAGAAGTGCAGCGCTCAGGAGCACACCCAAGCATGTCAAAGTCCTTCTGCTCCTACGCTTTTTTCCAGGGCACAGTAAGCAACTCCACCACAGTTACTTAGCAAATAGATTCAGCTAGATGGAACTCGCCTTTTTTCTTCTTGTAGCTACACTTCCTCCGTGTAAAAATAATGTTGTCTATTAATAAATGACATTCAGTCTGTCCAGCTGCCCCCAGAATAATCAAGCGGAGCCCAGCTGTTCTCCYGTCCCCATTTGTGCATTTCCTTCCACCTGCCCAGTTCTGCAAGAAAGCYCAAATCAATCTTTCAGTTTACTACACTTGAAAATACCTTCTAGAAACCTGTATGTTTTGGTGGTTAACTGCAAGTTCTGAACAGCTTGAACTCTTGAGGATTTTGATAACTGATGAATACATTCCCATACAATCTAATAGGGTACTTCTAAATCACTGGACATATGGCAAGCTCCTTAATATTCTTTTTCCTAAAAAGACCCAGAATTACAGAGCCCTATTTTTACAGTAGTAGTCTTATGCTGAAGTCTAACACAGACAACTCCTGTATGTACAGATGTTAATGATGAAAAAAAGACAAAAAAGACACACACTTTTAGGTAGTACTGTGAAATCAGCTTTGTTTTTCATTTGTTAAATAAATGCAATCCATGGACCACAGAGACAACACACACACTTCTCCCCACCTACTTCTGTGTTGTGGGTGGAAAATTTGCTCCTCTTTTCTGGCACATTTTCTCCTCTATTTGATAAAGTACAGCTACTCATATTAGACTTCATTTGATGGCATTCCCAGTTCACCTGAGTTACAGACCATTTCAAAGCTCAAACTTGCAGCTTTCTGAAGGTGTCAGTTCTTCAAAGCTGCTGTTAATCCACAACCAGTGACTCTCAATTTACTCTTCTAATGTTACAGAATTAGAGTTAATCCCAAATTGYAAGCAGCTACATATAGGACAAAAGGCAAGTTAAAAATCAGGTTAGGCCCTGGATTCCTCTTTTGACACACTAACACATGAATAACCCCCGTTTAATCCCTCATTCTCCAACTGTCAGCTATGCACTATTTAAGAGGCTATTTGCTAATTGGATTAAAGCTAAATAAGTGTAATTGCAATTTTGCCRCCATCTGCCCCAGAACAGCACCCTTGTTTTATATATACTCACTCCTCGGACAATGTGAAAATATTTTTCCTTCATATGAAGATCTTTTAACTTCCTGCCAACTACAGAATTTCTCTGGCACTTTTTTTTCCCCCTATAACACATGGCACTAATTTCTAGTCAATTTTCTAAACAATCAGACACTGGTAATTCATCTTTGTCTGCCTTGCACATTACAGTCAAGCTTTCAAAAACATTCAATAAAATACTGCTTTTAAACTACATGACCAAAAAAACCAAAATCCCAAACACAACCACGTTCTTACAGTTGCCTCACTGATAAACCCTTTATGATCATCCCAAATTCATGTTCCACTTTCCATACCACTCTCCAGCTTTGCCAGAGAATTTTCATTAATGGAGGCTCGTAACTAATTCTGCATGTAATGCTTCTAAAAACAGCAAAGACTTATTTTCCCCAAGTAAGTATAAGGTAAAATGGTCTCTGTGTAATATACGWTTTWTTWTTATTATTATTATTTGTTTCACTTGAAAAACAATTAGACTCTCAAAACTTCATTCCCTCATTTGCTAATCTGGTGTACAAGCTGAGTTATCATTATCAAATAACCCTGATCAACTTTAACCAACATCTCCAGCCTTGTTTACATCTGACAGCATGAAGAAACCAGCATGAAAAAGCATTCATGCTATCCACTAACTATAGTGGTTAAAAGTTTTCTAATCAACTCAGGGTTTTGTTTTCTCAAGCCTTTCATTGGTATGAAACATTTCAACGCTTTCACATTTCTTAACACAAGATGCATTTGCAAAAAAATCATGAATGAATGGAAACTTTTAAAACTTTTACAGTTCTAACTGCATATACTCAAAACTCATCGTACATAAAACACACAAACAAAAATCCAACAGCAAATGCTACAGAGCACATTTATCTTCCCGTTAAAAGAGAGCTCCAATTTTCTTGATAGAAATAAGACAAAAAAAAAAACACAAAATTGATAAGCTCCAGGACATTTTGATATAGTACACAAAAGACCAGCAACATGCAGAAAAGCATCAGCTTTCTTTTCAAGGCACTTTTCCTGAAGCACTTCCTATATTCAATCTATTTTTACTTTGTAATATAGGAATGAGGCAGTTGGGTACTCTCAATAAAGAGGAAACACATTTCATCTCCAATTTAGGACTACACATGAGCTCATGTACCCCCCAAAAAACACAGGCACACGGCCTAATATAGCCAAGGAAGTAGGAAATCAAAAGGTAAAGATAAGTAAATTAAGTTACTTTCGTGGCAGTTTCAAAGGTCTGTATGGTTACAGACAGAATTATTTCTTTAGATCTACTGTAATCAACGTATTTAATTCCATTATTCAACAACATGTAGATTATCCAATAGCTTCTCCCCATCAACATATTTCCTACTCTATAGAACAGACAAATGTATATAAACCATAAAATCACCTCATAGTGCAGTATTCAAATAGTAAGTTTGGATGCAAATAGCTTGACTGCATGAGCCAAATATTTGGGGAAAAAAGAAGGTTGGAAAGCAATGAAAATCAGAGAATTTTATGTAATATTAACAATAATTAATGTATGCTGTTTACCACTTTTCAAATAATAAACAATAACTTTATCGCAACAGTGAATTCACATGAAGACTCAGCTGCATAATTCTCATACTRTAACCTATTATGTACTTGCAAGAAACTTCTTAAGAACATGTGTGCACACATGTAAATGTTTATATATACGCATATGAATAAATAAATACTAAACATTTGCAGATATCCACGGAGGGCACTTCTTCCCCTCTGTTTTGTTTGACTGCACCCTGTGACATTCAGATGGGGCTGCTGTTGGAGCTGGTGCACTTCCGCTGGCTGATGATTAACTCTCTCCCATTTCACTCGCCCTGCAGAGGGCCGGCTCGCTCTCTCCCCCACAGGCCGCGTTTTGCTCTTTCCCCATCCTGCGCCGCTCCACAAGCAGCGGACTTGGCTTGGGAAAACAAAGGGCACTCCCTCAAGATCAAAATCACTCCTGATGTAGCTCAGATGTTGGCCCCAAGCCTGCTTGACCCAAGCCCCTTGCACAGAATTAGGCCAGAGCGCTCAAACCTGATTCTTGCCTTTTATCACGGGCTGCCCTACTCCAGGCAGAAGGCATTTGCTTATGCTTACATACTGATTTGTTCCATATGGTTTTGKTTTTTTGCTCCTCTGTCCTTCACACCACAAAAATCATTTCATCCTACAGTGAAAAGAAGTAAATCTTCTTGGGAAGAAATGGCGAGTCAAAAGAAAGCTGACTAGGAGCCTGCCTCGCCGTGACAGCATAAGCGTGCAATCTCCAACTGGATTGGTGCCATCCTTAGTCAGGCACAGCTGGTGTTTGCTCACTAAAATACTCTGTTCATAAACATGCAATCTCGCTCCTATTATTGCTGGCGTCTATTAATTCAACTTGTTTCTACTATAATAAATTGTCTCTGGCCAGGCAGCTTTCATAAATAGTCATTCCAGGCTGACTAGGAATCGGCCTGGCATGAAACCCAAAAACTCTTCCCAAGCATTCCTGGGGGAGTGCATCTGACTGCTGGTACATCAAAAGATCTAGAAGAACTGGTTGTCAAACTAAGTAAGCAATTAAAAATAGGACACAAGGGTAGAATCTTACACTATTTCTTAACACAAAGAGAAAACTGTATGGATTTATAGATCTTGGTACAMACACAAGAGTTAACACAATTCTTAACACTACCTAATCCATTTAAAACAGACAACACAGGGAACTGATTGTTTTGTGTTTGAGAAAGGGATAAGAAGCTGTCCTGCTAGTCCCTCCAGCCTTGCATTAAAGAGGAAAAAAAAAAGAAATAATAAAAGCTTTATCCTAGACATCATATCCATGGTTCCTAAATATCTAAAGGAAATACTGCCTAAATTATTTACCATGTAACCACAAGGGTGAAAATATGCCAAGTAGTCTGATCACTAACATGCAAGACAAGCCCTTGAATCTTAATCCGAGCTTTGCCAACAATATCCTGTGTCAATGACCATGTCTCAGGCTCTATTGATGCTTTAGTACTTCTGACCATGACTAATACCTAAAAAAGCTTCCGTTTTATAAAAACAAAAAAGCAAACAAAACCAGTCAACGCTGGATCACATTCTTTTCATTTCATCGTAGCAAAACATTATTATGATCCCCTACAGTTTGGGGGTAAACAGTTCCAGTCCAGATGAAGAGGAGCAAAAGATACTCATTCTATAATCTTGACTCACAAAACTAGTCAATAGGAACCAATAGTAGTACACAAACGAGAACAACAAAGTCAAGTCCCAAGGTTAAACATGAACATGATGCTCAGAATCATTTTATTTACAACAGATATTCTTGCATTAAAATAAAGAGACCAAGTTAAGACTACGCAATTCACCCATTTTATAAATTTGTCATTATATCATCGCACAATTTCCCTGTCTCAGAAACCTGTGCACTGATTGACATCAAGCAGTCTGGCCTTCAGTTTTACACCGCCATGTAAACTTCCCGACAGAAATGACTAGCATATTGCACATTTACTCAGCTTTGCTCAATTTGATTTAATGTATTTCTCAAGCCCTCACTTTCCAAATGACTCCAGGAACAAAAACTGCAATCATTCATCTCTTCCATTTTTGTTCTTTAGTAGTCAAGTGTCTCAATGGGCTACTCAAGTGGTATATCACATTATCACACTTAAAGCCATGTTCAATTGGCTTATGTTATACCTATATATCAAGCTCTACTCTTAAAAAAAGGCACAGTCCCACAACTGCACATACATGCACAAAACAGGCAACACAAAACTGTTTGCATGAAAAATGAGATGCAAACAAAAGAAATTCAACTGGTAATAAAAGTTCTCTGCAATCAGTTCACATGGTTTCCACAGAGCTACTCAATGACCATGCCACAACACAGAACTGTCAGCAGGATCGCACCTCACTCCATAGAAGAATTATGGCACACGCTGTATTTTAAAGTTAATTAGAAGGAACCGTTCAAGCAGTTTTGCTTCTCAAGGTGACAGATTTTTCTCTGAAATTACTCCAGCAGACTCTTCATAACATAGAATTAAATCAGATGCTGTTACAAACAGTGCATATAAAAAACTTCAATAAAAAACTTTTTATCAAGTATGATTGATTTTAGGGAAACATAGTTTATCTTTTACGAAATTCCTACAGGAAGTGTGCAGCAAAATGCATGACTTAGCACTATTTCCCTTACTGTTTATTTTAACTTGTCACAGAGATGCTACATTTATCATTTATTTACTTGGACACCTTGTTTGCAACCAACTTGTAAGCACTGCTTTTCATGTTCAATTACAACACTAATTAAGAAATATTTTCCAAGTTAGTCAAATAATTTGCCATCAATGTCACCTACATGATCAAATGCCTAAACTGTGCTTAAAATGCATTCCTAGATTATTTAATTTCTAAAGTAGTGCCTCATTGCAAAGATTTGTTTTCACTTGTATTTCCTCCAGTCCCTATAGACAGATCTCAATAAATTTGAGCTTTTACCATATTTCAGAAGACCAGCACAACATCCTTATAGGATACTCTTCTAAAGGCTAAGCTATTCTATTTTGTATTTGGGTTTTTTTCCCCCCCTTCTTTTTCAATTAATCTTTTATGGGTGCAAAACCCATATTACATATCCTTACACTGAAGGAGATAAGGTTTGCTTCCGAGTTGACCTTTACGACAATGTATGGACTCAGTGGACCTACTTCTAATTTATAGGAACAGATGGACATCAAGACCCCTCATTTTTAGCATTTGAATGGTTCCTGCTGCCTGTTTGCTCTCTAAACTGCAGCACCAACCTGGGCAATGATGTAGTTAGGCACTCATTAAAACAACAAAAACAAACAAACAAAATGGAAAACAAACAAACAAAAAAGAAAATCTAATAGTATCCAACCTCGACAAGCATCTTCTGGTATGTCTACACATCAAGGCAAATTGCATTTGAAATCAGAGATACACAAGGGAAAGAGCACAGCCAAGCCCAGAAGAAGAAAGAGAGCTATTGAATCATTCATGATACTGACACACTATAAACAAATTAATCCAAACTCAAAAGTCCATGAAAAATAAATAAAGAAATTAACTAATGGCATAAATACTTTGATTTAATACATAGGACTGCTGCCAGCAGTAACCATTTTATTTATGACTCACACACTTGTTTTAAATTAAGGCTGATAATTAGATGTTCACCTACCGAATCATTTGCTGCTAGTGCGAGGGCTATATTTACTGCAAGAAAAAGGAAGAAAAAAAAAGATTAAATGCAATAGAACTGAAGTCCTATATGTTTAGATACTACAGTTTCTTATAGAAAATACTATAAATTCTGTGCATCGTATTTTTAACAACTCATCTCTTTGTGCACAGCTCTGTGCACCTCTGTAGTATTATTAGTTTCAGTAGCAGCTGCACTCACTTCTCCATCAGGGCTTCCTAACAGGCAACCAAACTGATGCTAATCAGTAAAAATGTCAGCTCTAAGTTTTCAAGGGACATTGCAAAATAAAAACACAGTATTTTGCTCAAGAAAAAATAAATAGGCATCTTGAAGACTTTCCTTAATATCTTCTAAAAAATACAGACAGCATAACATGAAAATAAAGCAGCCCTACTGTAATTATCCTTACCACTCTCCAGTCAACTTTAAAACTAGAGATTAATTACTGCACTAAACTGTTAAAGCACACTGACAAGAAACAGGCACACATCTTTTGATTTCTTGTGATATGCTATAAAACATATTTTCTGGAAGAAAGCATAMATGTATGCATTTTGCTTGTTTTTTATATTATAGAAGTCTCATCTACCTTGATAGAATCTCCAGTAATTATTAAAAAAAAAAAGGGAAATGCACTTAAGACAGTTGTCAGTTTAAAACTTCTGCTTATCTGCCAATACTTACTTTACTGTAGGGAAAAAAATGCTATCTTTTAATGGTTTACCAGCTTCAGCTATGTCAGAAAGCCTCCTAGGAACTTCAGCACAACCAAACCATGGATGTTATCTTCTCAACCATAATGTCAAGAAGAAAAAAAGACTGACTGAGTAAACCTTACACCTTCTTTACACATAGCTGTATCTCAGTATTGAGGGCCTTATAAAAAACATAAGCAGCAGCCAACCTTGATCTACCAGAAAACAGCACAAAGGTACTGAAGAGCTGGGTCCCAGGTGAGATTAATAAGGCAAATAGGGGTCACACAGCCCTCCCTTAAAATAAATAAATAAATAAATAAATAAAAACCCACAGGCTGCTCACTCCTAAGCTAATAAAATGCACAGATTTTATTTTTTGTTTCCAGTCTAAACAGACGCCTCGCTCTCTTAACCCAAAGAGGGGAGACTTCCTTGATCCTCTGAAGCTCTGAGATAAAGTTACAATCACAGATAAGCAAGAAAATGAGCAAACTAGGAATAAGTAGCAGTCATACTAATAACAAAACTACAGTCTATCTTTATAAGGGCAGAAGAGGCAAGTTATTCCATGTATTGTCTTAAAGCTACTTTATATGCCTTTTCACTACATAATTGTTTGTGAAAATTATAGTATGATCCATAGTACTTCCTGCAATAAATGTGGCTGGATATTTAGCTTTGTATCTAGCTGGACATCCAATATTACCATCTCATTCTTGCACTTAGTTATTTTTGTATTACAGGCAGCTTAGAGGTCCAGCACAGGATCTAAGCTAATCATGAATATTCATGTTGGCCCTAACGTGCAAGATCCCATGTAAACTGGAGCACAGGAGAGGCAACTTCTGGATATATTCCAGAAGTTGCAATAAGCTCAACTCAAGCAGATTTAGAAGCAGAACAACCCATTTAGAAACAGAACAACCCATTTCTGATTGCCTCTCAGAATATCTTCACCTATGAAGAATGCAAAAAAGACATGATGTTGGCTGTGAAAGAGAACCATGAAATAATTTTATTGTCACAAAAGCCCAGACTTGCAGACAGGCTAGTCTGGTAAATAGATGGATTTTGGCCAATGCTTTAAAAAGGTGAGTTTCAACAACTGTATAGCCCTGCCTCTAATACAAGTAAGTGATGAGCAAAAATAGAAAACAAATAATAATAATAAAAACCATAGTTAACATGGCTGTCATACACTTGGCCATGTATTGACTTCATCTTCTTCAGCCTGTGGGATTAACAAAATGCAGGTAAGAACATCAGCTACTGAGTTTATACCAATTCCACTGAGAGGAATAAAATAAAAAGCACACCTATCCAAGTGGGCTGTGAAATAAAGCTTTAAACCTTTTAAGTTTACACACTACAGCATAACAGAACTCACGGAATCATCTGATAGGTTTCATTGCTTCCAGCTGAATGAAATTCAAAAAAAAAAAAAAACAAATGAGCACAAAAATACTCAGATATGTATTAAAAACCAACAGAAGTACAAGGGGCTGCATGAAAAAGTCCTACCTGCTGTTGTTGATTTTCCAACTCCACCTTTCCCAGAAGCCAAAACCAATATCTGCTTAACTCCTTCTATTGGTTTTTGCTTTGGAAGGCCACGGGACTGGATTTGGGCACGTTTGTCTCTTAGAATTTCATCTCTGGAGCCTGAGGACTAATAATAATTGGAAAAAAAAAAAAAAAGAGAGAGAGAGAAAGAGAAAAATAAGTGCATACGCACCAAACTGCATTTCAACAGCAATACAAAACTGCAGTTCTCACAAAGGAAACTGACCGTCATGAAGCACCCCATGCTCTGAAGGATGGGCATTACTGCTCCCAAACCCCTCCSGTATCCAGGATGTCCTTACAAGCACAATGGGAACCAGGTTCCCTATCATGTTCAAGCAAGCTTGAAAGAAGGAGGCCTGCTTCAAGTTACCCTAGGGACATTTTCATTAGCAGCAAAACAGTTATATATGGCATATCTTAATCCTTTACAAAGAAAGAGTTTKCATTCAAATACAGGAAATAAATGGAGATTCTTAAGAGCAGGCTTTGGATTATTTGATTTTTCAGGACTCTCATTGCAATCGTTACTCTTGGAAACTTCCCCCCACTGCTTCTCCCCAGAGGGGGCCAGACCGCCCCGCACCAGCCGCTCCGCCGAGCGCTGCTGCAGCGCCCCGAGCTCCCATCGCCCGTGCGTGCCCGGGCACGCGGCGCTGGCAACACAGACCATCAAGCCCAGAGCCGCTAGTACCTGACCCGATGACTAAAAAGGCCATAAAGAGGCACCGAGGAGCTTTTCACGTTAGAGTTAGCCCAAGCCAAACGCCGCAGGGAGCTAGCAGCACGAAAGCCGAGGGCMAAGCCGGGCAGCGCCCCGCGCTCCCCGCAGCAGCGCCGGCTTCGGGAGCGGCGGCTCGCGGGGCAGCTCTGCCTCGGGGGGCTCCCATGGACTAGAGCAGCAGAGCTGCCCCTCTGCGACACGACTCGCAGCCTAAGCGGGCAGCGGCCGCGTCTGCRCGGGCAGCGTCCCCTCCCGTCCCGCTCGCTGCTCCGGCACAAGCGGCGCGGGCGCGGGCTGAACCGCCGGGGACGCAGCCCCCTCGCGGGCCGCTTGCACAGCGCGCTCTGCCGCCCAGCGCCCGCCCGACGCGCGCCGCGACCCGGCGCTGCTGCCGCGGTCCCGGCTCGCTCCGCTCCGCAGCGCCCCGCGCTGACTCACCGAGGCGGCGGAGGCGGCGGGACGGCGGCCGGCGCGCAGCGCCCAGCGCCACGCGAGCGCCCGCATGGCCGCGCTCAGATGGCGCGCTCGGATGGCGCCGCGGCGCCTCGTCCCGCCCCCTGCGCCGCCGCCGCGCGGGCCTGGCGCTCGCAGCGGCCGCGGGGCCTGCGCGGGAGCCCGAACGGAGCCCGAGCGCCGCGGGGCGGCGGCGGGGCCGGGCGGCCTGCCCGGGGGTGCAGCTTGCGGCTGGGCCCGGGAGCCTCCCCGGCAGCGCTGCGCTACCCCGTCACTGCGTGGAGCAGGGCCAGGCTCCTGGGTTTGTTCTGTTCTTAATATCAGTACTAAAGCACTGAGGATTGCTCTGCTTCTCCCTGTAGAGGCTTTATCAAAAGCACCCTTCTGTTCCCTATGTCTTGTGCTGAAAGAAACACGTTCAAGATACACATCACCCACCCTGCTGCSACACTTGCAGCCCGTCGCGGGAGGAAATGGGCTCCGTTGACATGATCTGCGCTTGACAGGTCCATGGATAGTCCRCAGTTGTCTTGGAAGCAGCGCAGAGGCAGTTCAGGCGTCCGCGGTCTCAGGCCACTGGTTTGCAAAGATCCAGTACAGTGTGCGTAGTGTCCTGGTGTTGATAGCAGCTGTGATACATAACAAACCAGGGGATTCTACATCAGCTTAAAATGTTATTATAATAAACATTACCTCTTGTTCTCACTTGGCAGTTTTCACCACTACTTTAAATGTCATTTTTGTCTTGTATTATTAGAAGAGCTCAATTAATCATTTTGTTAAAAAAGAGGATTGTGAAGGGCCTGTTCCAGGGCTCAGCTGTCACAGAGAAATTACAAAGATTAAAACCACATTTTTTTTTGCTATGCTTTAACTGGTTCTCACTCAAGCTGTCATTTTTGCCCTGACCATTGAAGCCTGTTTTGCGTTCCCAGCATGGACACAATGAAGAGGTCAAACACTTTCCCAGGAATTCACCCTTCTGCCAAACCGCGGTACAAAAGAATACTGAAAACTAATGAGCCACTTAGTATTGAACTCCAGTATGGATGTGCCTCAAGGGTCTTTTTCCACTACCCCAAGAAACTGTGTTACCTTTTTCATGCCAGAAATTTGCATAATTGGTTTTCCTACCTGGAGTAGTTGGAGACAGTGCTAAGTGAAAATAGTATTCATATCACAGAAATTTAACAGGTAACGCACTGCTAGGCATACCGTTTTGCTATCCGTCACTATAAAGTCTATGCGAGGAAAAAAGTGGGCCAAAGAGTTTCCCTGTGCATGTTCTGGGAGAAGCTCCAACGGTGACCGGAATGAACCTCCCAACCTTCAGCTCATCTAGTTTTTTTTTAAGTTGATCTAACACAAAATAGAACAATTTTTTAGACAGGTAAGCTGAGGGAGTTTTCCAAAGGTCATGTGACCTACACCGCCACTGAAGAAAGAACAATATTCCATATTTTCACTTTAATTATTTATTTTAGCACTGTTTTGGACATAAGAGGTATGGGAGATGATACGGCAGCAGGATGCAGTGAATATGGCAAAGACTTCAAAGTCAAGAAAACAAATTCCTGAATTTGCAACTAATGTGATGTATTTGTGCATTTTTAGCATGTGCACAAATACTGCAGTCTTTATAAGGTGTACTTAGCTTTGAAATCTTTCTATGTAAAGTTTGCCAACTACATATATATTAAAAGCAGAGGAAATAAGTAAAATCTCCAGGAGGCAAATGTCAAATCCTCACAGTTTTTAGCCTTCTTCTATGCAGTACCAAACACAAACACTGTGCATATTATAAAAAACAGATGCCATCACAGCTATTGCTGGCACTTCCTTTCTTCCTTTTGTTCTAATTTTTTCCCTTTGTTCACAACTATGTTAATAGTCTTTTAAATGACTGCGTCACTCGAGGAATGCTGGAACAGATTTTTTTTCCTTGCCCAATGAGTAATTGAGTATGTTCATTAGGCTAAACTTTTCTAATATGGAACTAGGCACAAAGAGCCAGGCCTTTCATTTCTGAATGGCCTGGGAGCCAAAAGGATCCTTCTGCAAAAATTGTTTGCTACCCATGAGAAATTCATAAATTGAACTTCAATCAGGTACAGATATTGAAAACAAATGGGCCAGAGAGGTAGTGTGTATAAACCTTTTTATTTCTATTCCTTGTCATTTGACCTTTCTTTAAGTGCTTACTTTGATATTTTGTGTTTGTTTTAGCTCAAAAGCATTGTGAATTTCTTTGGGAAGCCCACAGCAAAATGTGGGTAGATCAGTGTCAAAGCTCTTGCTAATTTAGGTCCCATCGAAAGGTCTATTATTATCTCAGAAGTGTGAGATGTATTTTTGAAATGAGGTATATATCATTAAAGTAATACTAAATATGAAATGAGAAGTGTAAATGCGATATGAAAACAAAGGTAAAAGTCACATAGTTCTGTAAAGAAAACCCAAATTATAACAAACAGGAAATAGACAGCCAGATTTCAACTCCCATAGCCACATAAATTGGAACCTTTTTTTCCTGAGAATTCCCTTGAAGTCAGTAAGATTTGTTTTTAAAAGGAGGAACTTTAGTCTCTTAGAATTAAAATTTAGTCATTGGAAAGTGATTACATCTGCTCTGCAATAAAGCGATCACTTTCAAAATACCTTCACTATTAGTACAGGAATATTTTGATGACAGTTTGAGAGAACAGTATTCTGACACCTCTAGTAGCTGTAAATACACTTCTGTGGATTATACGCTTTCTTTAATCACTTTTAGCTTCATTATTTAAATACCCATATTTAAAATAAAGGTTTAAATTGTTTGCTCCAGATGTAATTATAGTTTACATACAGTGATAGATTAAGAATCCAGAAAAATTAACCCCAAAATTAATTGGAATATTACTAGCAGAGCACAGTCCTTATTGAAACTAATAATTTCTCTATCTTTCAGAACAATCCCCTCTAGACTTTTCAACAATCACTTTTCAACTAATTCAACAAAATGGAAAACACAATATTTAATTTTTATGCAAATTCCTAACGTTTTCAGTATAAGGGAACATTTTGAAGACTTTAAATTTTTAGTCAGTCTTGACACTAACATGATAGAAATATAATTGATTTTTGTCTGAAATTAGATTGTCTTCTGTGTAAATGTATTCTCCCTCTGCCCAAAATCAATTAATGGCATCCTGCTATATCTAAAAGTGATTTGCTGCCAAATCACTACAAAATCTAAAAATGAATTAGCATTTGAAAAATGATTTAGTAGATAATCAAGTTGATTTGTGTAGTGTAGGAAATAAGCAGCTAAAAAAAGAGTATATAATCAAGACTGTAAAAGTTTTCAAGGCTGACAGACTCTATGTTTCCATYGTAATTTCTGGATGTCTAAATAGTGCTATACTAATGCTATAATCAGTTAAGGACAGGGCTAATATCGCAAATTCTTATTCATGTAGGCCATCCATTTATGCCATAATTTTAACTACCAATCATATTAAAGAAATACTAAGGCATCAGTTGTAAATATAAACTGTAAAATAACCTCCAAAATGAAGGGCTCACTTCAGCTTCATGGGCCTGTAATCTGTGGCCACAGAGGTCACCTCCCAGAACATGAAGATGTGACATGGAGATGGTTGGTTCAAGTTCTTTACCTAATTAGTCAGCCCAGCTGTGGCACATCTAGGTTAAAAAGGAGTAAAATTTTGCCTTTTTGCCTTTTCTTTTTTTTTTTTTTTTGCATATAGGCATGATTATTTTATTCATAAAGAAAGTAAGTCTTAGATATGTTTTAGGCCAGTTAGCAGAGTTCCAGTGGTAGAAATTAAGACTGATGGTGTGCAATAAAGAAAATAAAGATGAATACATTGAAGTGTCAGATAATGAAAAATATTGCAATTTATTACTGTAAGATACAATAGCCTAAAAAAAAAAAAAAAAAAGCCATCTCTATGATTCTATTATAAACCTCACAAACTCTGCCTTCCCTTCAGCTTCAGACTGCTGGAGAGCAAGGAGGACACCGGAGGTTCCTGCATTCCCAATTTCCCATGCTATCTTAAGCCAGAACAGTTATTCCCAAGCCTTAGTTTGTAGCTAAGCCTAATGTACAAACAAACTGTTAAACCCCTGTGCTCTCTGTGTTGTTATGGAAGAAGGCCTTGCTGCTGTGTCCYCATTTCTAAGCCTCGGGCTTATTGCTGTCATCTCCCAGCTCAGCCCTCTCCCCTCTGAGCGTGGCTGCTGCCTCCCTGATCCGCAGCTCTCTGACCGAGCGACGGCAGCTCCGGAGCCCCTCTCAAGCTCTCTCACATTCCCCTGTGGGGCTAAGAATGAGAGACAAACCAGATCTTGCTATTAAAAGAAAAAAAAAAAAAAAGAAAGAAAGAAAGAACAAGCCAAAACACCTACTGCTAAATGTTTTTTGCTTTTATTTTTGCTATACTCCACATGTAAGCCAAAGCAACTTTAAGATTCATCTACTTAACATT